ATATTCATGAACAACAATAATAGGAAAATCCAAATACATTTCATTAGTATCTTCTTGAGCTTTAATTCATTCTATTTCTTGAACACCAACTTCTGGCCCCTCGGCAGATTGTTCAGTAGCTCCATCCTTATGAAATATCTCTTCCAATCAAAAAATAATGGTGATTTCTTATATATCATTGACTTGGAATATGGATCAACCTAAGGAAAAAAAGCAAGTATATGAAGTAACTAATAATATTCCAAAGACATTATATTCACCAAGAGAAAATCGAACTAACTAGCTTTAGTTTACTAATAATTTAAATAAATTGTAAATCACCTTTATGAAGTCATCCCAAGCTTTTGAATCGTCAACCAAGATAGTTCCATCATTGTATCAATCCTAAGCCACTACGACTTTTTACCAACGGTATGGTCATAAAATGTTTTTTCCACCCTCTTATTTTTGAAAAAATATGTGGTTGATCTTGCAGTCTGCATTTAGTATGACAAACATTCATTTGATGTTCCAGTTGTATCAAATATCCATGTTTAAAGGTTCCATTATATTTTTTCCAATCATTAGCACACAACTTTTTTAATCCATCAACCAGAGTCAGTTCCTTTTCTTGAGTCCACACCCTTGTCCTTTTTTCAGACATGTTATAACTTCTTTTAGTGGAACTACCAGTGTTAATATGTAAGAATGTAAAAAATCACAATTTGTACCAACTTATAATTTACTAGAAAATTATACTAACTTATTTTCACATATATTGCATTTGTCTCTAAACAGATATACAAGAGAAAAAACAGAATATGATAATAATAATAATAAGAAGAAAGCACCAGAACATGTTAAGATTTCAAAAGTTTCTAACCTCAAAGAAACAATTTAGATTGAGATGTATTATATGCCTCTTAGAAGATAATATAAAATTTCAGACGTGTATAAAAAGGCTTACAATGTATCTCATTGTACTGAATTAGAAGTGATGAAGGTCAGAACTGTATACCTACCATACACAATGGAAATTGTCTGCATTTGATGTAATAAATCCACCCGTCCTTTGGTTAATAATGGAATATTAATGCATTCTAAGGAGTGAATGACAATTGATTGGTAATATTTCCATGAATTCTTAAGTTAGACTTTGAGAAACTAATGACACAAATAGGCTTGACAGATTTTAGAACTATTGGAAAACCATTTGGCCAAAATATCACAGTTAAAACGCCTAATTGCACAAACTCAAAACGAAAGCCTTTAAACTCGAACCAACCATCCTACTAGACCAAAAATGACCTTTCAAATCTAACCGCGCTGACGGAATTTTAATCTGATCATATTTTATCAAGAATATTGACTAAAGTCGAACTTTGACTAAATTTCTGTGTTAAAACTCCTAGTTGCACAAACTCAAAATGAAAGCCTCAAAACCCAAACCAACCATCCTACTAGACGAAAAATGACCTTTTGAATCTAAAAACACTGACGGAATTCTAATCGATCACCTTTTACTAAAAATATTGATTGAAATTGAACTTTAACTAAATTTTAAAGTTAAAACACTTTATTGCATAAAATCAAAACGAAAGCCTGACAATCCGAACCAACACCCTACTAGACCAAAATGACCTTCCAAATTTGACCACATTGACGGAATTCTTATCCGATCAGCTTTTACCAAGAATTTTGAATGAAGTCAAACTTTGACTAAATTTTGAAGTTAAAAAGCCTAATTGCACAAACTCTAAACGGAAGCCTTAAAGCACGAACCAACCATCCTACTAGACCAAAAATGACATTCTGAATCGAACCAAGCTGACAAAATTCTCATCTGATCACTTTTACCAAGAATATTGATTGAAGCCAAACGTTGACTAAATATCAAAGTAAAAATGACTAATTGCACAAACTCATAATGGAAGCCTCCAAACCCAAACCAACCATCCAACTAGACAAAAAATGACCTTCCAAATCTTACTATGCTAACAAAATTCTAATCGGATCACATTTTACCAAGAATATTGATTGATGTCGAACTTTGACTAAATTTCCAAGTTAAAACACCTAATTGCACAAACTCAAAGCTTCCAAACCCGAACAAACCATCCTGATAGATCAAAAATGACCTTAAAAATCTAACCGCGTTGATAATATTCTCATCTGGTCACTTTTTACAAAGACTATTGACTGATGTCAAACTCTGACTAAATTTCCAAGTTAAAACGCTTAATTGCACAAACTCAAAATGAAGTCTCCAAACCCAAACCAACCTTCCTACTAGACCAAAAATGACCTTCGAAATCTAGATGCGCTGACAGAATTCTCAGCTGATCACTTTATACCAAGAATATTAATTGAAGTAAAACTTTAACTAAATTTCCAAGTTAAAATGCCCAATTGCACAAACTCAAAATAGAAGCCTCCAAACCGAAACCAACCATCCTACTAGACCAAAATGACCTTTAAAATGTAACCGTGCTTGCGAAATTCTTATCTGATCTATTTACCAAGAATATTGACTGTAGTAGAACTTTGACTAAATTTCCATGTTAAAACGCCTAATTGCACAAACTCAAATGGAAGTCTCAAAACCCAAACAAACCATTCTACTAGACTAAAAAAGAAATTTTATATCTAATCAAGCTGATGTAATTCTAATCTGGTCACATTTTACCAAGACATTTTAAATTTAGTTGAAGTTTGACTCTCGTCAATATTATTGGAAACAAGTGATAGGATGAGAGTTCCGTTAGCGCGGTTATATTTGGAAGGTCATTTTTTTACTAGTAGGATTGTTGGTTTGAGTTTAGAGGCTTTCATTTTGAGTTTGAGCAAATTAGGCATTTTTACTTGGAAAATTTGTCAAAGTTTGACTTCAGTCAATATTCTTGGTAAAAAGTGATTCGATGAGAATTCCGTTAGCTTGATTAGATTCAAAAGGTCATTTTTGGTCTAGTAGGATGGTTGGTTGGGGTTTGGAGGTTTCCATTTTGAGTTTGTGCAAACATGCATTTTAACTTGGAAATTTAGTCAAAGTTCGACTTCAATCAATATTCTAGGTAAAAAGTGAGCGGATGAGAATTTTGTCAGTGCGGTTAGATTTGGAAGGAAATTTTCGAGCTAGTAGGATGGTTGGCTCGAGTTTTGTGTCTTCCATTATGAGTTTGTGCAATTAGGCGTTTTAACTTCGAAATTTATTCAAAGTTTCACTTCAGTCAATATTCTCGGTAAAAAGTGATCGGATGAGAATTCTGTCAGCGTTTTTAGATTTGAAATGTCATTTTGGTTCTAGTAGGATGGTTGGTTCTTGTTTTTAGGCTTTCATTTTTAGTTTATGCAATTAGTGTTTTATTTTTGAAATTTAGTTAAAGTTCTATTTCACTCAATATTCTTGGTAAAAACTAATCGGATGAGAATTCCGTCAGCATGGTTAGATTTGGAAAGTCATTTTTGGTCTAGTAGGATTGTTGGTTCAGATTTTGAGGCTTCCATTTTGAGTTTGTGCAATTAGGCGTTTTAACTTTGAAATTTAGTCAAAGTTCAATTTCAGTCAATATTCATGGTAAAAAATGATCGGATGAGAATTCCGCTAGTGTGGTTAGATTCTAAAGGTCATTTTTGGTCTAGTAGGATGATTTGTTTGGATTTTGAGGCTTCCGTTTTGAGTTTGTGCAAATAGGTATTTTAACTTTGAAATTTAGCCAAAGTTCGACTTCAATCAATATTCTTGGTAAAAAGTGACTGGATGAGAATTTCGTCAGTGTGGTTAGATTCGGAAGGTCAATTTTGGTCTAATAGGATGGTTGTCTCAGGTTTTGAGGCATCCGTTTTGAGTTTGTGCAATCAGGCGTTTTAACATGGAAATTTAGTCCAAATGATTTTCCAACTTTCTCAAATCTATCAAGCTTATTTATTTCAGTAGTTGCTCAAAGTACAACTTCAAAATCTATAATAGGATTACCATTTAATTTTTCTTTCACTCCTTAGAATTGCATTTATCTCCTATTTCTAACCAAAGGATGACCATTTTAATAGTTTATGGCAGATAGAAAGTTGTGACCGTTCATCACTTCTACTAAATAAAACAAGATACTTTATTAGGAATAGATATCTATTGTAGATAGATAGTTGTAACCCTTTATGAAAATCACTTTTTTTTCTGTCTTACTTGACAGTGCATTAGTTGCTTTTTAAATGTTAATCTGTTACTTCGACAAACTATCAATCCAAAGGATTCAAATCCTTGTCTCTGTCACAATTACTATATTGTGTCTGCTACTTCCAACCTGGTAGTGCTTTTTTAATAATGTGATATTCTTTATTTTAGAGCATCTCAACTAAGTGACTATACAGATTAAGCCAAAGGAGACAAGATTCATCAGGAAAGAATTTACTCACTTATAATTCATTGTTAAAATATACACCTTCATTTAAAGTGAATGAAAGTTAGCATTATTCATTGTTGAATTACAAAAGTTAACCCATACAACAAAGATATACAATTACAATTTTTTCGAAAGAAGTCCCCTATTTTTGTAACATTATCCTTCAATGAAAAACACTTAAATAACAACCTTAACAACATATAATCACTTGACAAAATAGCATCTGCGTACTTTGTATTTTTGACTGGATCTTTCTGATTACTCCAAATGCTGAATAGTCTGTGAGAAAAGAAAAGTTCAACATAGCCCCAGAGAAGAACAAAATAAAAACAGCTTGTAGAAGATGATGAACTTATCGATTGGATCAGCTGCTTGAGCAATCTGAGGAGATATCTGAAAATCATCTGAGTTAGCTACTTAAAAAGCACTAATGTTGAACATAATCATGCATTTGTTATACAAAAACAAGCTATTTAAGCCCACACCATTTACATATATGCACATTTATGGAAACAACCTACTTAAGCCTACACCATTCACATATATGCACATTTGTGGACATTCTACTAGGTAACAAAATATATCATTATGGTTAGACCTTACAAAATAGCTACACAAAAACCATTCAATGAATTAAAGCTTATCATTAATAATCATCCATATCATACTATGACATTCAAGTTCGCTGATGCTTAAGAAGAATTCCATTCTCTTTATATCATGAGTAATTCCCATTGCTGCCTTAACTCGTTCATCTGAGTTGTATATTTCAAATGCAGGGGATCCAATAATAGAAAATATATTACTACGAACCTCAGATAGATCACACTCTCTTAGCTTGTCAATTAAAGAAGTCATTCTCTTATCATGGCTTTCAGTGAATTGTTTCACCACCTCCATCAAACCTTTAAGAACAATCTCAGTGTCATCTTCAACTATTTTTCTTTTTTTGCATCTACTCTTTTCATTTACTTTAGAAGATGATGCTTTAAAAATGTTACCCTTTTTCTGAGATTGATGGGCTTCACCTTTTTCAGTTGTGAATGAACTTTGTGTTGCTACAGTTGATTCATTAGGTTCATCTTTAGCGGTAAATGGACTTTGTGTTGCTCCTGTTTATATATTAGGTTCCTCTTGAGCAGCTTGATTTTCCCTTGTGCTTGAAGCATCATCTATGTAGATAACATCAATAGGAAATCCACAGACATGCCATTGGTAATTTCTTGAGATTCAATTCTTTCTATTTCTTGAACAACATATTTTGGCCCTTCTGCAAACTCTCCAGTAGCTCTATCCTTGCCAAATATCTCTTCTAGTCAGCAAATAATTGCCATTTTTTTAAGTTCATTGACTTGGCATTTGGATCAACCTAAGAAAATAAAGAATAAGTACACGAAGTAACTGTCAATATTCCAAAGATAAAAATCCATTAACCAAAAGAAAATAAAAGTAAGTAGAAATTGCCTAATGATTTCAAATAAATATAAACCACCTTTATCAAGTCATCCCAAGCTTTTGAATAATCAACTAAGATACTTCTATCACTATATTGAAATCCTAAACCACTCAACTCTGTATCAATGATATGGTTGCATAACTCTTTTTCCATGATCTTAGTTTAGAATCAACATGTGGTAGAGATTTCGATCCAACTAGGATGACGAGCATTAATGTAGTGTTCCAGTTCCATCAAATATCCATGTATAAAGGTTTCATTATCTCCTCTCCAACAATTAACACACAATTCTTTTAATCCATCTATAAGAGTAGGTTCCTCTTCTGGAGTCCATACCCTTCGAGATGAAGGTGTTGATTTTCTTGCCCTCTTTCTGGACGTGTTAGATGTTGCAGCAGTAGAACTAACCATTTCAATCTGTAAAATTATAAAAGAAATAACACGTAATATTAAGTTACAACTTACAAGTAAATTATTTCAATCATAATCAAATTAATTGTAATACAACTTCATTGGTATGAAAAAAATAATGTGAAGAGATAAAGACAAATTCACTACTTATATTATAAAATAATAGATATACATTGAGATTCTCTTTTTGTCTGTACAGACAATAATGTGAGACATACAAAAGATTGAACATTCGTTTTCACAAAATAATAATAGGTATTACATTTTACAGTGAAAGGAAAACCAAAAGCAAAAGTGCATAAGCACACCAAAAGTGAACACATAGTTTAAAATTATAAAGATTGATTTCCCAATTGTTCATTCCACATGGACTGAGCTAGTTTATTCCTCCAACTGGTCCACTCATCAGATGTTTCAATTGTATCATGTTCATGTTGATTTTCCAAGTGGAAATCCATTTTCACATCTAAGGGGTCAGCTTCCATCTCTCTTCAAATGAAATTGTGTATCAAACAACATGCACTAATAATTCTATTGTGAATCTTAAACAAGTACCTCAAAGGACTTCTAAGAATTCCCCAACGTCCTTTTAATATTCATAATGCTCTCTCAATAACATTACGTGCCCTAGCATGATTCATATTAAAGATCGCTTCTCCATATCGAGGTGATGGATTGTCGCTCTGCCAATCTTTTAGCCAATATCAATATCCTCGGTAGGGACCAGAAAACCATTTTCATTTGTATATCCTCCATCACACAAATAATAATGGCCTAAAAACGTAAACAATATCTATTTTGATGAAGTAGAAATAAACAAGGGTCTGCCTATTATTTAGCATACAGGTCCATCAGCGGCTCATCCCTCTCAACCAGGTAGTACATAAATAAAGTTGAGATTTCTATCACAAACCCCCAAGACATTAGTTGTTGTATCTCTTTTTTGTGTTCTGTATCTTGTCTTTATATATTGCTTCAACTCTAATGGAAATGTAAGTACACCATCAAATGCACCAAGACAATCCTAAGATAAATTCAACTCTAGATACTAAAGGACTATTAAATATAAAAATACTTTCACCACAATATTTCAAGTTTATTGTAGTAAATCAGATGTTAGATTGAAAGTTACCTACCTTAAACCGTTTCCATCTATCATCACTATCATCTTCGAGCACTAGATTAGGTTAAACAAGTAACACTGGAGTTAATTTAAGAATAGCTCTTTGACATTCATTAAAGTCTCAACTTACACTCCACCCCGATCTAATATAATCAACTTTGATAAACATGTTCTTTTTGTGATGAGCCACAATATTTAAAAACATTGCTAACTTTTCAGTACTCGGCAAATTTTTACCGTCAGTCAACCCTCCAATATTCTTGGCTAAGGAGGATAATCTGTGAAAAACATTTCTATCCATCCTAAGCTTGTTAATACATACAATATCATTGTCATGAATGAGAATATTCATATGAGACAAGATTTTTGGAATTCTACCACTCATACAATATTGAATGACCCGCCTATTTCTAGATTGTTTTCTTAATAACATGCTGTAAATAGCCATAAAAAGCAGATAAGGACAATATAGGAATGCACCACTATCTCCTATAGGTCATAAAACATTCAACATCGCACAATTGGTGAGAATCCATTTACACCTATTTTCCAATAAAAAAACATAACATCATGATCAAATTGAATCCCAAAAGAAAAAAAGTATCAATTATGTTACTTAACTAAGTATTGCGACACATTTTGTATAATAGGAAGGTAATAAGTGGTTTCATACTAAAATGTTCAATTTTATTGAAAAGAAAAAGAAAACTAACATTGAAAACAGGATAAAAGGTTTATTTTTGTTTGGCTTCTTTAGCCAGAATACAAATAATATTTTGTCAAACTGCAAATACATGTTATCTTTTGCAGTTTTATATGCTAAAACAACTAAACTTAATGAACCCATTTGTTCAGAAATCACAATTTTTGAACAAATAAAACAAAACACACATCACATTTAGGTGTACTCGATCATTCATCTCATTGGATGAACAAGAAGAAAAACACAAAAGAGAAAACTGGAGGAGAAGAAGAAGAAGAAGAAATAAAAAAAATCAGCCAAATTTTGAGTTTCAGAACTTCTAACCTCAAAGAACGAACATCAGATTGAAAGTTTCTCAATCTACTTGCCTGGAAGATGAAGAGCCATTACTCTAGATCTACAGATGGAGAAAGGATCAGAATGTTTATCTAAAAACCAGTGGTGTATATTGATTGATACTGAAGGGTAAAATTGTCATTACATATTTTTATTCAGGTATTCGTTATTCAGATATAACTTATTCCATCTTTCACCCTGCATAAAATGATACATAGATTGACTCATAACTTAAGCATGCATTAGTTATCTGATTTTCTAATTTTATAACCAAACATAGTATTATGTGTGTTGAATTTTATACTTTGACAAAAAAATGCTACCAAACATGGTGAAGCTAATGCAACATTTAATACCTGAATAACTCAATGCTTATCCAGTAACCAAACAACCCCAAGGTGTATATTAGGATTATAAAACTAAACTTTATAGGATTAGACCCTTAAAATATTACTAAAAACAAATTAAATATGGTTGGGTAAGGAAAATAACAATATACCCTTCACTATTTTCGGATAACTTTCCTTAACCGGACAACCTATCTTCAAAAGGTCATATCTCACTCATCCAAACTCGAAACTTCGCAAAATCGGTGGCGTTGGAAAGATAATTCAAATATCTTTCCTAAGGTTTCTTGTATAAAACTTAAATTATACTATGCAAAGAAATATTTCCATTTAAAGTTGACCTAAAACTCACTTGCTTGAGTCTTGAAACAAGTTACTATAAGTTGTAGAAGACTCTTCAAAAGGACTCGAAGGGACTCTTTGAAAAGGTTCGGGAGAACTCTCATAACATAATATTAATTTTACCTTGAATTTGAAAAGTTAATTCAAGGTTATGATTAATTTTATGAATGATTTCTAAGTGTCTATAAGTAGTTTAAAGTGTATATAATCAAAAGGAGTAAAGATACACTTTAAACGATCTCAAACGGGACAACCGACGGAAACATAGTGGGGCCAAGAGACCTTGGTGTGTTCCGAGCGCATGGTGCCATGCCCTATCATTAGAGCTAGCATTTAGGAGTATATAAGTTCACCATACCAGCCTCTTGGGTGCATCTGAGTCGCGATGCGGCAGCCCCTTCCCAGGGAACGTTTTGACGAATTTTGCCCCTCATTTTCTGATCCTAAATTGCTTTTAATCGATTTCTTTGTCACGCCCGGAGAGTATACCGTAAATGCGACCAGCACCATTTTCCTCTCAGAGGACTCAGACAAGCCTCTTAGCGTTCTCCATAACATGTCATCAGTTAAAATTTGCGAAAAATTAAAAACTTTTAATACTATGTGAAGTATACTTAGACCTCATACATAATAATCATGAAAGCATACATACAATATTCTAAAATCTGTCTCATATAATAAACCATCTAAAGAGTACGAATCTGGACTTAGCCAATAAATAGTCAATACGCCATATAGGCGTTAATACAAAACAATCCAAAGAACATAGTGGAAATACGAGTGTTCGTAAAATCTACTAATGTCTTCGTAAGCTAGAATAATGAAAGAATAACATCCACAAACATTATGGACCTACCAACACTTGGAGAAAAAGTTCCAAGATTTTTCAATCGACCTTCATAATTTTCACTGACCGAACCCTACATTTGTAGTAATATAAAGTAATTGTGTTAGTATGCCACATGTATTAAGTAGGGGTATATGCACATAACATTTAAAGAAATGCATGAAAAAGGATTATTTCTTAGAAAACATGCTAAGTCATGTCAATGTCTTCAGTGCACATACCATAAAACATATACAAGTTAAGGATTTCATCAACATAAAGCATGATCCTAATCAAACACATATTATCATAAAGTCATGTTAACATTTATTATTCAATAGATCATATAAACATAACATACAAAACACTTAAAAATGATCCCATCCCCATCCTACAAGTGCAATGGTCATGTGAAGCCACATAAACCCACACAATCAAGTAGATAAGATAGGAGACCATAAGTAAAGTTTTGCTTCATGTAACTTGTAACATGGTAGTCATCATCTCATACCGAAATATAGACCAATAACATGTTCATCAACACAACCAACATTATATAGAGTAAAATAATATATCATAAACATCATATCTTTCATGTTATCATATTACATAAGAACAATCTCCTGGGACTTCCCTTAGAATCAACTTGTGCAATGTCAAGATTGAGTCTCATACCCCTACCTATACTCAGTAGACCCCTCAAATCACCCTAGTCAATGTCCATTTACTTGTCTTTCATTTTACATGAGGGAACATTCACTTTAACCGACATAAACCACGTGAGCTAACATTGGAATCCGGTGTCATAAAACCCCACACCTAATGAAGGTGGTCTACCAACCAAAGTAGAACCAAACATAACATAGCTTTCCAGGTGGATCCACTAGATAGTATCCTATGGTGACAACATAGTTCAAGAACTAGGAGATGTATTAAAAACCTATAGTTCTACATTACATGGAAACCTCTATCTCATGAGAGTCATTGTGAACCTACCTTCCAACTATGGAAGGGAACCTCTCATATCTATTCCATCGGTGCTTAGCTTAAGTCCCTTTCTTGAATAACCTTTAAGTTGTCTTTTATCATAAACTTATTATAGGTCATAGGAGATTTTAATCCTTGTATAAACATGATCACGAGATTTTTAGGATTAAATGAGAATTTCCTTTCATCAAAACCCTTCGTACATGGAATTAACATAGCATAATCACCTTGTGTAAAGCATACAAAAGGATATCATAAACTTCCATTTTCATATTCTTATCATGATATCACATTTAGAATGCTCATAGCCCAACATATATTCATAGAAAAATTATGC